AGGTAACATCTTGCTTGAGACTCTTCAACTAAACACTTTTTTTTCTCTGTTTCCATGCAAATTATGGGTCATTTTGAAATTTATTTTACATATTGACAATACTGTATATAATGCAGTGCAGTGTTGATTTAAAGAAAATAAGCTTGAATTACACCAACAGAACTAAAATTTTATGGGTGAAATGGCGCCATGGGGTGACTTCTCTTTCACCCCAATGCCTTCTCTTCTCCCTTCTCCTCCACCCCCATTCTAATTCCCATCAGCATCATCATCATCCAGGAGCCTTCTACATACACACCTCAAAGTAAGTGTACTTTACTACCTTTTTTGTTGATTTTAGGCAATTTTCCGTGAGCTGGAACCAATTGCCCAAAAACCCATTGAAACAATGGTTTCGGTTAACGAGCAACCTTCTGGAACGAATTGTGCTCGTTAACCGAGGGACCACTGTAATGTTTATTTATTTTTTATGTACCCTTCATATACAATACAGTATAGAACTATGTATATACCTCATAGGTAAAAAATAATGTCATTCAAGACTTATTCAGGTCATATGACCCACTGATCCCCCATCCAACACTGGTTGACCTGATGTTGCATCAGGTCAGGTTAGTAACGTGACTCAATAATCTCCCACCCAACCTTCATCACAAGTGTTAAGATATGATAAGTTATGTATTACAGTCAATTGAGTGAAGTGTGCAACAAGAGACATGACCAATCGCCCAAGCAACTAATGAGCTGATCAGTGGTGAAGAGGATAAAAGTAACAGCTGTATTCATGCCTGTATCATATAGAGATGGCAGTGGGGTGGAAGAGAAGTCACCCCATGCTTCTTGCCGCCATTTCACCAATAAAATTTTTAAGTTCATTAGGTGTAATTCAAGATTATTTTCTTTAAATCAACACTGCACTGCACTATATATTGTCAATATGTAAAATACATTTCAGAATGACCAATAATTGTACTGTAAAAACGTAAAAATAGTTTATGTTCAAGAGAGTCTCAAGCAAGATGCTTCCTCCACTGAGCAGAGACACAAACTGACGCCATTCTGGGTGAATCAAGTGGCTGTTTGGCGCGCTCAAAACTAGTTCCCTGTACTTCAATTATGTTAAATAATTGTTAAAATGACTAAAAATTTTAATATAAGACTTGGAAAATTATTGAATAGTACAACCTTCTTGATATTTACTCAAATGGTAACGAATTTAAGCCCTAAAACCAACTACTGTATTGGCGGACTAATACTACAGCTGGTGAGCAGGCGAAAGCAGGGGAAAACATGTCGGGAAAAATTCGTAAGTAATTTGTTAACTGAATTTTTTTTGTTAACCGAATTGAATATTCTTATGGAAGGTAATTCGTTAACTGAAATTTCGTTAACCGAGGGATCACTGTAGTAAAGAAATTAAGTTTCTAACTTAATTGGAACTGTATTTATGGATTCCAGTAGTTAAGATTTAAGGAAAACATCTCCAGCACCTAGAAACGTTCTGGGGAAGTGGGCTAGTGTGCGTCTGTGCAAGAGGTCTAGTTTAGACACTCAGAAACTTTTCCCAGTAACCAGAAAAGGTTCCGGGGATAAGGAATTTTTCCGGGTTTGAGAAAGTCGTCTCGTTTCCCGGAAATCTCTCATCCACGGAAGTGCTCTGCACCAATTGTTCCGGCTAATGGGGATATCACTGTATTGTGACCCTAAAAGCTTCTGGAACCTATGGACAGTTCCCTTTACTAGTACATTTACAGAGACTCGTCAGGTTTTGTACAGTGTAGCAGTGCTGTTTGTTTAAATTCGACAGAAGGAAACTCGCAATAGTAAACATACTATGAAATCAAAGTAAAACAATATTAAAACAAATATCTTAATGTAATGATTTGAGGAATGTGTATATGACAAGCCACTGTAAAAGCACTAGTGAAGGGGACTGTACAATAAGATCACAATAAGTGGAATCTATAATCCGTGGAACTTTCCAATACTGTACAAGGAAAAAAATTTTTTTTTTTAAATATCTTTCCATTTCAGGCATTCGCATGAATTTCCGAGTGATTGCATCATGCAACGAGTGCATGATAAGCATGGGTGGCAAGCTGCACGAAGAACTTAGGTCGTAGACTCAGTAAGCTAGTGCACTCTGATTAATTAGCTACCACTGTCATGTGGCTACGTGAATGCAGACAATCTTATATCATAATACAGGTACACCACCGATTTTCCGGCACCCTTGATTCCAAAGCCTTGCTGGATTATCCGTTTTGCCGGACCAACCGAGGTCAGGTAATAATAATTCAACAATACTGTACACCTCTGACCCACTAATTATACACCTCTTGTGTCTCTGAAGCACCATGGACTGCTAAAAACGTAAATTAAATATTAAATGTAAATTAAATGTGAAAAAGCCATAATTTTGAGCAACATTACTCTACACACGTTGTACTCAAATGTACTATACTGTACTACACTAAACTAAAATTTTTATCTCTTGTGCAAACTATGTGATGTTTATACTCAAATTAATCAATATATTGCAAGGATTCCAGCAATGCAATTTATATTCTGCTAAGTCTAGTCAGCAACATTTTATAAGATAAAAACTTTAAGCCTAAACTGCCTTCACCCTGGCTGTGAGGAGGAAGGGGGGGTTGTGTTGACAGCTGTCAGGGATGGGAGATAACAAAACAGGAGTAGTTTTAGTTTTTCCCTTATAAAATGTCACTGAATTGACTTGGCAGAATATAATTTTTATTGCTGTAATTCTTGTAAGCTAATGATTAATTTGAGTATAAACATCACATAGTTTTCACTTGACATAAAAATTTTAGTAATTAACTTATTACAGGTTTACCCTTAAGACAATTATTTCTTTTCCTTTTTTCACAATATAAATTTAGGATGGTTTGTACATGTAAATGAGTAAAAATAAATGAAGAAAGTTACATATATCTTCCCCAAAATATGAGTTAAAAAACTTGTACACAAATGTACTGTACTATGCTAGACTAAAATTTTTATCTATTGTGCAAACTATATGATGTTTATACTCAAATTAATCACTATCTTACAAGGATTCCAGCAATGCAATTTATGTTCTGCCAAGTCTAATCAGCTACGTTTTATAAGATAAAAACTTTAAGCCTAAAACTAGCGTCACCCAGGCTGGGAGGGAGGGAGGGAAGTTAAGTGCCCCTCATAATTTTGTCAGGACTAAAGGAGGTGCCAGACCACCAGTTCCTGGATTATCGGTGGTGTACCTGTACAGTATCACTATTTGACCTGCCTGCATCACAAGCTCACGTCGACAGCCTATGCTAATGAGTAAAGTACAATACAGTATAGTGAACCGGATCACAAGGAATTTTTATTTGTTAAATAAAATGCAAGCTCCATTAAATTTTCATACCCGAAAACATTATGATCGTTAAATTGTATTTTCAATCAGCAGGACCTTGCGGTACTCCTAATTTTTGAAAACTAAAGTTGCTATTGCTGTTAAAAAAAATAATGTAGTACAGGTTGTACCTCTCTAGTCCGGCATTCTGTGGTCCGGAACGATAGTTTGCCCAATAGGTAGATAGGCAGCTAATTTTTTTTTTTTTTTTTACTTATCTGAATTTTTATTATTATTACAGAAGTATTACATTTTCACCCCTCAGGCTCCAATGTGGGTCAGTGACCTATGCCTGGGTGGGCTAATCCCCGTAAAAAAACAACAACAACAAAGCCGCAGGAAACTAAGGTTTGTTTACATACGGCAGTTCGGCTCTCTCTCTCTGTTTGTCTATACAGTACAGAGTACAACATTTAACCCTTCAATATATATGAACAGTAAATAAGTGTTGCTTTCATATTCTTATGTAGAATAATAACGATATGTTTTTACATGTGCTCACTTACATACGCGCAGTCTTACTTTTTTTCTTTAAAATTAATGGTTAGCTACTTATATTGTTCCATTTATTAACATTAAATAACATTTCTTCAAACAACCATATTAATTTTTACATTAATTTTACTACAGCTACAACCAGGGTCTTATTTTCTTGTTTTATATGTAGAACCAATCAGTCACTGGTTTTGTAAACATTAACGAAAACAATGCCGGCAGCCGTCTCGTCTCCTCGTGTGTTTTACTATTTCACAAATTATTAATGAATTGTATTGTTCATTTTGCACACACAAACATTAATTCAATAAAAAAAAATCAGAAACATTAATTAAAACATATATGAACATTAAATAAGTGTTGCTTTCATATTCTTATGTAGAGTAATGACGATATGTTTTTCACATGTGCGCACTTACATACGTGCAGTCTCACTTTTTTTCTTTAACATTAATGGTTTACTACTTTTATTGTTCTATTTATTAACATTAAATAACATTACTAAAAACAAACAGATTAATTTTTTAAATTAATTTTACTACAGCTACAACCAGGGTCTTATTTTCTTGTTTTATATGTAGAACCAATCAGTCACTGGTTTTGTAATCAACGAAAACAATGCTGTCTCATTTCCTCGTGTGTTTTAATATTCTATGTATTATTAATGAATTGTATTGCTCATTTTGCACACATAAACATTAATTCAATAAAAAAGACATTCAGTAATAAACAATAATGAATCTTTTGTACATAAGAGAAATGACGCTGTTTACACGATTGTGCACGTCGTCTGAACGTTGGCGGGCCGTTCAAACCCGTCGAAATTCGAGTTTCCGCTGTCAAAATTTTGAATTATGTAGTGTTTTTTGTGTCCAAATAAAAAATGTTGAATTAAAAACTCGCGAAATTTGAGAAGTTACTGTACGACATTTAACCCTTCAATATGTCTTCAAAGAGACCACGAAGCAGTGAAAGTGGTGCTAACGTAAGCGCAAGTCACTACCTGTCCAGGAAAAGGGTGAATTTCCATGGTCCGGCACCGGTCAGGTCCCGAGGTTGCTGGACTAGAGAGGTAGAACCTGTACATAAATATTCTGAAACTGACCTAAGAAGTCTTGTGGTTATATATTTTACTGCTGCAGGGGTCAGCCTAAGGAGCCTCAAAGATGAGCCAGTAGCACTTCTTCTAACATGGGCTGTTTGTAGTGCTACAAGTTCAGCATGACGACTGTACTCAACAGCTGTTGCCAGTTGCTGGTCCTGGTGAATAAATATAATCTTTACATGACAGATTTAAAACACTGAAACTATAAATTACCCAAGACTAAAATCCTGTGCTTCTAGCTTCCTTCTTTAACACATCCTGCTGGACAGGGGAGACAATAACATATGCAAATGAATCCCCAAGATTGCAAAATAATGCCTAGTAAATTCAAGTAAATTCATTTTGTTGAACACAAAAAATAAGCCTCGGATGTGGAGGCAGCTGCAGTGGTGCACATAGTTCCATAATATCCCATGAATTAATTCTTGGATATTAATATACTTTACGAAAAGACTACATATTATTGTACAGTATAGTCTTAATTTACGCGGATTTCCTTTACACGGTTGGTCATTTACGCGGCACCTGGCCAGACCGGGAATTATTAGTTACACGGTACATTCCATCATTTATGCGGGAAGCGGCGCGGGCAGGGTGTGCACTAGGTCGCCCAGTCAACAAAATATTACCAAGTTCTTCACCCGCCACCCACCACAGCCAGCCCAAGTCAGTGATAGTGAGGATATGGACTTTGAGGGGTTTGACAAAGAGGCCCTGCAAGCCTCTGTGGTGGATAGTAATACAATTGATACAAGTGATACAGGTGAGGGCCAATAATCTGCCCTCTGCCTCGGACCCAACCCCCCATCCCCGTGTGCCCAGCCATCTCTTCTACTAAAGTAAGTGTTAAAAAAACCTAATACAGTGACCCCTCGTTTAACGAACACCTCGGTTAACGTAATTTCGATTAACGAACTGCCTTCCATAAGGATCTTCAATTCGGTTAACGAAAAAAAATTCGGTTAACGAAGTTCTTACGAACCGACCTCAACATGTTTTCGCTTGCACTGACCGGGCAACCAGCTTTAGTATCAGTCCGCCAATACATTAATCGGTTCTAGGGCTTAAATTCCTTACTATTTTAGTAAATATCAAGAAGTTTATACTATTCAATAATTTTAAAAGTTTAATATTCAATTTTTTAGTCATTTTAACAATTATTGAACATAATTGAAGGTAAAGTGACTAGTTTAATGCGCAGCATCCAGCCTCTTAACACAGCAAACAGGAGTTAGTCTCTCTCTGTTTTCACTGGAGGTAACATCTTGCTTGAGACTCTCTTCAACTAAACGCTTTTTTCTGTGTTTCCAAGCAAATTATTGGTCATTTTGAAATATATTTTACATATTGACAATATATAATGCAGTGCAGTGTTGATTTAAAGAAAATAATCTTGAATTACACCAAGAGAGCTAAAATTTTATGGGTGAAATGGCACCATGGGGTGACTTCTCTTCCACCCCAATACCTTCTCTTCTTCCTTCTCCTCCACCCCCATTCTAAATCCCATCATCATCATCATCATCCAGGAGCCTTCTACATACACACCTCAAAGTAAGTGAACTTTTCTACCATTTTTGTTGAATTTAGGAAATTTTCGGTGAGCTGGAACCAATTACCCAAAAACCCATTGAAACAATGGTTTCGGTTAACGAACTTTTCGGTTAACGAACGACCTTCTGGAACGGATTGAGTTCATTAACGGAGGGGTCACTGTATTATTGATATTTCTCTATAATATTAATTGTGTGTGCATACCATCAAAAATTAAGATGATATTTTACTAAAACGTACGTATTGTGTCAGATAAAGGGTAGTCTGGGGGTCGGCCCAGTCTCTATTTCAATTAATCCCATATGTTCTGTTATTTCGTTTGCGCGTTTCTCGTTTTACGCGGACCTCCATGGGTTTAATTGATTGCGTAAACCGAGACTACTATACTGTACTATACAAATTACCCTGTTAATCAATCAATTTAAGAAATCTTCATTCCTAAATATATTTTTAACTTATTCTTACCAACCTGCATGTAATATTGAGCAGCATGAGCATAGCTGTGCATGGCCTGAGTGAGTAGATCTATACTGGCATTATACAGATACTCTGGCTCGAAATCATCAGCAATCTGGAAACCTGGAGTAACCCCTGTTAAAAGAAAAACAGAAATATGTATCTGAATTATGAATAACATTTCATACAAGCCAAACAAGTTATGCCCAGGGAAATAAAATAAAAATGGAGACAGGTGACTGTACAAGCACACCCTTGCATGTGCGTGTGTTTGTGCATGTGCCTGATGAATTTCTTTACAGTACTGTACTGTATTTAGAAATATGGAAGATGTCTGGTCACAAGCATTCTAGATTTTCTGAGTGGTAATGTACAGGCAGACCCCAATTTACCGATGGGTTGTGTCCCTGAAAAACCTTTTACAATATTATTGACAAATATTGTAAATCAAATGACTACCGGGTAAAGGTCTCAAAGGATATTTTTTATGAAAAAAAAAAGTTTTAACAAAATAATCATGATACAGGTTGACAATCCCATATCCGAAATCCTTGGGGCCAGAGGAATTTCGGATTTCGGAATTTTTCAGTTTTCAGAATTTTTTTTATGTGTATTAGCCACCCGGGCATAGATCACTGACCCACATCAGGCCTGGGGGAATATAATAAAATGATAATAATAATAATAATAATTCATAGGTCTAGGTCGTGTTTCTCACTTTTGATCCTTTTTTTCATTCTTGTATTTCTTTATTATTATTATTATTATTATTATTATTATTATTATTATTATTATTATTATAGTGCTCCTGTATTACTGTTATTTTTATTAATTTTATTATTATATATTATTATTATTATTAATGTTGTTATATTTTATTTTGGTGTACTTTTATTAAAAATTTTATTTACTAAGAATAATTATTATTATTATAATTATTATTACCATTACATTTTCGCCCCCCAGGCCCTGATGTGGGTCAGTGATCTATGCCCGGGTGGGCTAATCACTGTTTAAAAAAAAAAAATGCCCCACAAAAAAACTTTTGGTTTTCAGAGCTTTTCGGTTTTCGGAATTTTGGATAAAGGGTTGTCAACCTGTAGTATCGTATAGTATACAGTAGTGTATAGATGCAGTACAGGTAATAAGTTTATTCAATCCAAATTATCAACACCAACAATATCTGGCATAGCATCACTGTCATTGTTACTCTCCTCTTGTGTTAATCCGATAAAGCAGATAAAAAGAGATCCTTAACCCCTAGGCTTCAGTTCACATCATATGAATTGTGCTTACAGGGCTTCAGTTCACGTCATATGATGTTTTGTAACTTCAAAGTACTGTTTCAATCGCCAAGTGGGCCTGGCTAGATTATGTTCCCAAAAAGGCATTTATCTTTCACTCACTCACATATGCAAGCCTTTGTTCATAGTAACTTCTCAGCTTTTGTGATGTAGGGATCTTGCCCTTGTACTTCACGTGCATCACCTCATGTATCTACCCCTCAACCCCTAAGCGCAAGTGTATTAGGGGTCTCTGAACCATCCAGCAGATTTGTGACCAATTAATGGAGGCAGTAATAATAACTGTAAATAGCAATAACATAATAAAACAAGTGTCCTGTACCTCATACTGCCAACAAATCAGTGTTGTGTACCTCGTACTGCCAACCTCACCCTACTGCCTCGCACTCACATGCCACCTCACGTGCATTCTTGACTCTTCCTAACCCCTGCGATCTTAACCTGTGGTAAGAACATGTAGTTCTTCACTTTTTTTTATCATGTATGACCAGTTTGTAAGATTAGAATTGCTTTTTATTTAGATTTTTCTGAATATAGCCACATGGAGGGGGGGTATATGCCAACCATAGCCCGATGCCTGGGGGTTAAATATCCTGATTTTAGCTTTCAAGATTTTGACTAAGGGTCTCCATGAACACCAATTTCGATATAATGGGGGATGATATTGACCATTCACAGTGTTGTTTATCTCAACACTTGTACCAAATCCTCCCCTCACAGAGGAAAGGACATTGATGCTGAAGCTACACATACACTGAATCCTTGCAATTATCACTTGGTCTTTTATCAGAAGACAATGAAATATGCAGTGGGACAATGACTGCTTGGCACACAGTCTCGAGCAGCTAACCTCCCAAAATAATGCTTGAATCTTGGCACACAGTTTAAATCTGAAGTTGTGTAGATGCTTGAGCAATACCGATTCTTGAATTTGGGATTTTTGAGCTTTGACTGTATGTGACTTCATAGCTCAAAGGCAGAATGTCTGCCTCACAAGCGAATGGTCCCAGGATTCTGTCAGAGCAGTGGATTAGTTTACCCCATGTTCATTAACTTTAGAACATTAAGCAAAATAATGTTCAGTAGCGTAGAGTAGCACCCTACCTAAAGGTGGTTAACCCACAAGCTACAAAATTTTACAAAATTAGTGTTTCATCAACTTCTATAATGAGCCTTCAAGGCCTAGAAATAAAAAGCATTATGAAGTCACATGATACCTTATCTTGCATATATTCACTACTGTATAATAAGTATTCCCCGATTTACGAAATGGTTCTAGTCCTGAAAAATCTTTCATAAATCAATATTTGGTAAACGGATCATTTTCTCATAGACTCCCATTATAAATGATGAGATGCATTCTTATATATATATATATATATATATATATATATATATATATATATATATATATATATATATATATATATATATATATATATATATATATATATATATATATATATATATATATATATATATATATATATATATATATATATATATATATATATATATATACGTTAACGCCCCGACGCATATACGCCTGCGGGCCCCCAAAAAAAACGTGACGCCTGCTGGACCACCACTCCACGACCCCCAGACGGAGACACGATGATCCTCCCCATACAGGTCAGATAGTATGTGTTAAAGGAATATGCTTCCTTACTTAGGCTTTTTTTAAGCATTTGCCTACAGGTGAAATGTTAACCTACATCTATTGAGGATAAAATCTTTCACCTACAAATTGACAATAACACATTTGCTGTAATCAGACATATCTAGTTGCCTCAACAATTGCAACCCCAGTTGCAATTGGGGTTGCAATTTCAAATTCGTGGCTTTACTAAAAATAGTAAAGTTTCTGGTGCACTCTAAGATTAAGAGAGAAAATGGAGGACTCAGGCGTCCTGATGTGAGAGAAAATGGACTCATATGACGGGGACTAAATAAAAAAAGCATAGCTACATGTTTTGTGGACTACAGTATTAAGCGTACCCTTTTCATCACTTTGTAATAAACATAGCCATACCTGTGTGTGTTTATGATATTTACCATAACATTATATATATATTTAGTGGGTCTAAATGGTCGTAAAATGGGAAAATGGGGTTGGGTCTTGGGTGCCTGAACCAATTAGAATAAATCCCATAGGTTCTGTACTTTCGTTATCGGCGGGATCCCAATTAGGTGCGATAACCAAGGGATGACTGTACTGTACTGTATATACTTGTGACACTGGCCAGTTGCTTCTGGTGTTATGGTACAGGGGTACCAAGTGACAGCACTAGGATCCCACTTCCTCTATCAAGGAATAAACAATTAAAATTTAAATTACAAAAAACAAAAAAACAAAAACATTCAAATAATGGGACCTAGCAAACCGAAATGGACCAAGAGCGGGTACAGTCAATTATGCATTGCGTATTCTTATAGATTGTGCAGCCAGGCGCACGTTATCTAGTGAATTTAGTCAATATTGTACAGTAACAATGGACCTAAGTGCAAACCTGTATTGTACATGTACTAAATGATTACGGTACTAAAATTGTTATGTCTATTGCAAATATAGCTTGTTTATACAGGTATTCAAATAAATTACTAGCTTACAAGAATCCCTCCAATGTAAGTTATATTCACCCAGGTCGCTTGGGTGGCAAATTATGAGAAGAGCTTAGTCACTCTTAAGTAATGATAAATAAACACGCAGGCAGGCCTTCGGCGCCAACTGTCAAATCTTATCTCAAATAAACAAACAAACGCCAGACATTCTGTCACCTCACCTCCCGCCCCCTTCCCCCCAGGGCCGGCGCTACCCACTAGGCGAACTAGGCGATCGCCTAGGGCGCCAACATCTGGGGGCGCCACAAATTCAGGGCAAACTTGGATAAAATTAAAAATGAAGGGAAAACTGTGGTGGACACTGTGGTGGAGCCGTGGAGGGTCGGAGCAGGATGTTAGAAGGGGGGGGGGTCGGAGGGAGGCGAGGGTAGGTAGACGGTAGCGACTGTGTTTTCTTTTTTAATATTATTCGTTAACCCCCCGGAGGGACTAACCCGGGTCCTTATCTTTGGCGGCCTGGAGAACTGTCGAGCAGTGACCTGAAGGCTGACATCTGAGGAACCCTTCTCCCAACCCCACCATCCCCTCCCCTCCCTTACTGCCAGGGCGGCTGAGCCGCCCCTTCCCTGTCTTTGTCGGGATGAGGCAAGGTTACCTGACCTCTGAAGTTTACGTCAAGGATTTATTGACTTAATGTAATAACAATAATTGGTTATTTGCATGGGTGAAGTAATAAAGCCACAAGATGAAAACAATGTAGTAATGGGTTACTGTACCTACATTAGCTTATCAAAACTTTCAAGGGGGCGCACATCTAAAGGCTTGCCTAGGGCGCCAAATCATCTTGCACCGGCCCTGCTTCCCACCTCTTCCCACCACCCTCGTGTTCCAAGATAAAAGATTGGTGATTTCTTTATGTTTATTTTATATAATATCTCAGACTAAAGTTAGGATAATATAATTTACATTGCTGAAATCCTTGCAAGACAGATATTAATTTGAATATAAGCATCATATATTTTGCTCAAGATATAAAAAATGTAGTACATTAGTGTACAATACTGTAGTACATTTTGTAAAAAGTTTTTCAACTGTATTTTTGGGTAGATTTACATAAATTTTTCATTTATTTTCATCCATTTACATGCAAACACCATACTAAAAGAAATGTAAAATAAATAAATGACCTTAGTGCAAAGATGGAGTGCACATGTACTAATTTGATTACGGTACTAAAATTGTTATGTCTAGTGCGAATTACAACATGTTTATATTCAAATAAATCAGTATCTTACAAGAATCCCAGGAAAATATAATTAACTTATATTCTCCTAGGTCATATCACTGGCATTTTAAAATGAGAGAAGCTTAGTAGGACTGTTAAATAAACACACAGAGACCTTCGCCTCAAACTTATCACCTCAACCCCTCCCCCCCAACCCCTCGCTAGGTGGCGTAGCTGGCTCCTTCAGTCGCCTCCCCCCCCCAGCCAGGCTTTTAGGCCTACAGTTTTTATCTTATATAATATCTCAGACTAAAGTTAGGAGATTATAATTTGCATTGCTGGAATCCTTGCAAGACAGCCAATAATTTGAATATAAACATCATATATTTTGCTCAAGAGATAAAAATTGTTGTACATTAGTGTACAGTACTGTAGTACATTTTATAAAAAAGTTTTTCAACTGTATTTTTGGGTAGATTTATATAGATTTCTTCAATTATTTTCATCCATTTACATGCACACACCATACTAAAAGAAACGTAATAGAAATAAATGACGTTAGTGCAAAGCTGGAGTGCACATGTACTGTACTAATTTGATTATGGTACTAAAATTGTTTTGTCTAGTGCAAATTATAGCATGTTTATATTCAAATTAATCAGTATGTTACAAGAATCCCAGCTATGTTAATTATATTCACCCAGGTCATTTCACTGGCTTTATATAAGAGAGAAGCTTAGTCACCTAAGAACTGATAAATATACACGCGTTAGACCTGGGCCTGTGCCAACTGTCAAACGTAGTACTACCGTATTTTTCAGCTTGGAAGACGCTGCATCGTGGAAGACGTACCCTGATTTTGGAAATGAAATTCTAAAAAAAAAAAAAATTATGGGTTTTAGCCCACCTGGGCACAGGTCACTGACCCACATTGGGGCCTAGGGGGCGAAAATGTAGTAGTAATAATAATAATAATAATAATAATAATAATAATAATAATAATAATAATAATAATAATAATAATAATAATTATAATAATAATAATTATAATAATAAAGAAATACAAAAATAAAAAAAAAATATCAAGAGTGAGAAACAATATACCTGTATGTATGTTGTGTTGTCAAAGTAAGAGAAACAATTAAGACCCTGCAGAAAGTCAGATCATCAACCTGGGACTTGGTCACATAGCAGCAGGGTCTACCATTAGACACACACCCCTTTGAATATCATCACTTAGAACTGCTTATCAGTCATCATTTTCATCAATTTAAAAAAAAAATCTGTATAAGAAGGCGAAGTCTTTAATACAGCACTCATTTTATACATCTGGTCACCTCCACATCTTAGGGGCTGTAGTGTTTACATTCTTTCTCTTGTTTTTGTCGGTATGACAACGAAGGGAAATATTTTCCAACGGTAGAAGGTAAGCAAATGTAAACATGTATATCAACGTCTATATAAAACAAAAAATCTTTATTTAAAAACAAAATAAATGTAAAAACCAACTCGTTTTTTGTAAAACCAATGACTGATTGGTTCTACATAATTATAAAACTGAAGAAAATAAGCCCTCCATTGTAGCTGTATTAAAATTAATGTAGAAAAATTAATATGGTTGTTTTAAGTAATGTTATTTAATGTTAATAAATGGAACAATGGAAGTAGCTAACAATAAAGGGTAAAAAAAAGTGAGATGTGTATGTAAGTGAGCACATGTGTAAACATATCATCATTACTCTTCATAAGAATATGAAAGCAACACTTATTTACTGTTCATATATGTTTTAATTAATGTTTCTGAATTTCTTTTTGATTGAATTATTGTTTATGTGTGCAAATTGAACAATACAATTCATTAATAATACGAAAAATATTAAAACACGTCATTGTTTTTGTTGTATACAAAACTAGTGACTGATTGGATAATATAATTGACATTGCTGGATTCCTTGTAAGACCAGGAATATTTTGAATATAAATGTCATATATTTTGCACAAAAAATAACATATTTACTCAGAGTAAACATTATATCTAAAATTTGTATGTCTAATGCAAAATCTATGATGTTTATATTCAAAATGATCATCATATTGTAAGAATTCCAGCAATGTAAATTATATTCTGGCTGGGTAATATGTATGAATTTTATGAGCTAAAACAGGCAGTCAGGCAGGGTGGCGGGTGGGGCGAATCTAAAAATAGCTCTCGAGCCGGACACCTCACCGCGTACACGTGGAAAAAACCCGCGTTAAGTGAAAGTTCGGCTCTGGCGAGGCACCGCGTATACGGTAAAACGCGCTAAGCAAAACCGCGTTAAGCAGGGTAATACTGTATATATATATATATACAGTCTGCGCGGAAAGTTCGTTCGTCTGCTTAAAAAAGTGCATATTTACTGTTATGTTATATAAATAAAGTCAAGTAACATTTACTACTTCAATTAATACTTTGTATTGTTCCCTTTGCACTTCAGGCAGTCCTTTAGCAAGGTTTTGCAAAAGGTCAGGGAGCAAGTTAGCCCAGATATCCTTGATAGCTGCCTCTAGCTTCGAGATTGATGATGCGTTAGTGTTGCGCAAACGATGCTTAACAACGGACCACAAATTTTCTATTGGGTTGAGATCTGGGCTACTGCCAGGCCAGTCATTAAAGAAAGGTACCTCACAGTCTTTTGAGCCACTGAATGACACTTTAAGCAGTGTGGCATGGGGCACTGTCCTGCATGAAAAGGCTTGCCTTAGCTTTATCAAATGATTCAGGTAAGAAATCACTGAGCAGCTCAAGATAGTTGTACTGATTCATCATCTGGTTCTTAGGAAGGATTAATAGTTCACCAACACCATAATACGTAAAGCAAGCCCAAACCATAAGCGAGGCAGGGTGCTTAACAGTCTTCACTGTGTACTGTGGGAGATATGCATCCGAGTGAGGAGGGCGGTATACCCTCCCTCCACCACTGCCAGTCACAAAAAACGTAGCCTTGTCAGACCACAAAACACTCCTCCATGACTCTAAACCCCACACTGCATATTTCTTGCAAAATTTCACTCTATTTTCCTTCTGTCTCTTCGTCAATAGAGGTTTACGACGGTGCACGGAAGCTCTTAAGTCCAAGGGCATTATGTAAGGATTGCCGAACACAGCTTAAGGAGACGTGGCTGAGAAGAAAGGGTTTCTCTCTTTCACTTCGTGTGCTGTGAGGGTGGGATTGGACTTAACTTGGCGTGAAATAACCTCAAGTGTCCGTGGATACAATAATTTAGGCCTACCAGACTTGGGAAGAGGAGCTGGCAACATGTCCTCTCCAAGCTCATGGAATGTATTTTATCTATTTCTTATGGGGAAAATTGGCCCGCTTAACGTTGCTTCGTATGTCTCGTTTTCAGGAATGTAACCCCGACGTTAAGCAAGGACTTACTGTATTTTGCTTTCAATGGATTTGATTTTGATGTGGTTTTATCTAAAGAAGAAATGCTAAACTTATCCATTTAATATTTTACTCTTTCCATTGGCATCAAATCAAATTCTGGAACACTAAATACATCAGCTTTCCCACAATTGAAATACTGTGTATCTTGGGTTAGCATCTTGCCATTGTTTCAGGTAGCGATCCTGTGAGCCATAATAGGTAAAGCACTGCACGTACGGTATTTTATTTTTAGCTTAATTAATTAAACTCTCTTAATACAGTACTCTATGTTGTTTTAAGTTTAGTAATTTTTATAAACTGACCATGTCCAGTACGGTATGCCCTGATATGCCTGTTTCAGCACCTCGGCACCTTCTAATGATGCAAAAAAGTAAGAAAGCAAAAAAATCTTCTAACTGTATTTTTCGTACTTAAATTAAAACATGGGCCAAAATGAATTTTTTGTTACTGGATCTTTGTAAATTGGGGACTGCCTGTTTATAAATATTACCCAAGTTTTACTCTGCCTAATCCCCTTTCTTAGAAAACTGTATGAAAGGATATAAAAAAGCTTTGATTAAAGACCAACCTTTGACTAAAGAGGATAATCTTGGAATAGTTTCTCGCTGTATGTAAACCTTATTAGGAGTCGACTTGGTTGAGGAACTGAAATATATTGATAAAAAAAGTTTATAAGTAAAGAATAATCATTCCAAGTGTCTTGTCATAATCATATACTGTACTGTTTTGTACTCATCTAAAAATGCTAAAGGATCTGTCAATAGTACTCATGACTGGTATAACAAACAATATGTAACACACTATGAAAGAAAAAGTACCGTACAATTGAAAAAAAATGAAATGGTTCTACCTTTTTACCATAACTTATGTAAATGTAGCATTTTTTGTACTCAGAGGAACGCTAAGTAATTTTACTTATAATCTACTTTAAAATTACAGGTGCAAAACCAGGTATGTGCATCATAAGCAGAACTAACTGTCATTGCAATCACAACAACTCATTAAGTAAAACATTGTCTGTTTACTGAAATTAGCAGTTCCAGGCAAATCCTTTCTTCAATATAACTACCAGTATTACCATTCTAATAATTTCTCAATGGTTGTTGCCTCTAGTTTATATTACTGGCATAAGCTAAATTATATGATAACAGTTGGGAAAAGCATCTGGCAACAACACTCTTTTGTATAAAATCTTCTCTACATTGGAATTTATGAATTTTTATATTTGATTTTTTTTTCTCATTTTATAATAAAGCATCAACTATTCAACTGAATTACAATAACTGTGAGAAAACTATTTATAACAATGACCAAATTTAGGAATTTTATATCTCTGAATCTGCCTCTAATGAGTGAAGCCACGAGAGCAAAATAAAGCTTCACCATCTGGTTTCCACAAGACAAAAAATATCATATCTAAATATTCTACATAATTAAAAAAGTATAACTTACAAGTGACTAATGAACATACCTTATGTTGCTGATGGTACTACATGATATGCCCAAGTCAATAGTAGCTTCTAATGCCTGCTCCACTGCTTTTTCTGCATCAGCTACCCACATCTCAGCAACCTGTGAATCATGATTTTAAAATTTCTTGAACAGAAAAAAGTAATCATGCATCTTGTCTAAGGATGGAAAGACACAGAATGAAGAGACAAAACAAACCAGTCAACACTAGTAACCCCCAACTACAACATTATAGATCAACTAGAATTTCCAGTGGAGTGCAAACTCAGATTCTTAACACTAGATAAGATTTTAGTCTAATATTTTTCTATTTCATAAAACAAACTGTGATCTGATGATCAGTTTCTTGAAAAATAAAATTATACATAAAGCTAAAAACATTGATTCTAAATCAACAATATCATACCTCAGAATACAGAAGAAAATGTAGAGCAACAAGTCTAAGTGTGTCTGCATCCTGAGGGTACTTGGAGTGGAGGTAGTGGACGAGGGCCCGGTCCAGTCCTGTCTCCTTTCCTTTTGGGTCAGAGCCACGCCCCAGCAAATGCTCAAACTGATCATGTTCCCTTAGAGCATCAATAATATATGACATCTCACTGTATCTTCTTACCCCAACAAGAAGACGCACCTGGAAGATATACAAGCAAATGGCACTCTTGTTTTCTGAAGCTAATGACTAGAACCTTGTGAATATTGAAATGATCCCGACTATGACTTAAAAGCATATACAGTATATCTAGGGGGTAGCTGTAACATTTTAGTAAATGTACAAATGTTTAAAAAATAATTTTTGAATCTTAAAATGTTTTCAACTACTGTACTGTATCCTCAACTTCTCCATATCCCAGCCACTGTCCAACTCAGTGGTGGATTCAAGGGAGTTTGGGTTTCAGTCACGTCAGGTCAAATGTCAACTCGTGCCAAGACCAACTCATACGGATTCTTGAAATTTGACCTTTGTTAGATGCAGGCAAATTTTCTCTACAATAGCACCTACCTCTGGTCAGTCAGTCTCAGGTTGTCAACATTTCAAAGGAACCGCCAAGCAAGAGGCTGTAAATGTAAGCTGATAAGAATTATGACCTCACGTGACAAGGGTTACTGCTAGATTATGGGAGGGAGGGTGGTTAGGAACTTAGGTGTAGGTAATCACAGGTGCTGGCTCTGATGCAGATTCACCACACAAAGGAATCAGAAATCAGCAAAATCGTTAACAATTTTGCCAGTGATTAACACAGATTCGTTTATTTAAGGCTTATTGGGCAAGATTTTTATTTTGCTTATCTATCTGGCCCGTCCACATTCTTCTTAGATTCAACTTTGAAATCAAGATAGTCTTTCTTTAACCCCTTGTGCAGAGGGCTACCTCTGGCCTGAATAAAATTGTCTGGCATTAGCCAAATAAAATATTAAAAGTGGTATCCCCAAAGTGACAAGGTTACTTAAGAGAGAATTACATATCAATAAAATAATGATTAATACCATTAGTGACCACTGTGAGTGCTGTATGAGTGATGTGGTGAGAGATAATGCTGTCCGTAATACTGTGCCAATTCCTTCCATGCTGGATGCAGAAGTGAAGCAATCATGAGCTCGGATTACCAGTTCAACACTCATGCTATGTACTGAAAATAAAAAGCTCAATTGCATTTTCCTTTTCATTGTACAGTACAGTATGCACATGTTGAATTAGTATCTATGGTAAATTCAATATATATAAAGAATACATTCAAATGATTAAGAACTAAAAATAAAAGACACATCCACCAAGTTCTGAATGCAGTAATTGAAAAACAAGGTGCATCTCTTGAAAACCAAAAAGCCATTCATATTAATTTCCTGATAAAGAAGACCCAATAAACAGATAACAAGTAAGTATGAACCAAGTTTGGAAAATATCATACAATAACTAATAAAAGCTATACATTATGCAGTTAACAAAATAAAGTCATGATGTACCTTTCTCCACCTGGTCTGGGTGTGATGATCCCATGCGTTGGCCAACATCAAGCAACTGATTACCTAATGCTGAAGGATCCTCACACAGTGTGATCAGGTCCCGCCACTGTGCCTCCAACTCATCCCAGAGTAATATTCGATCTCTTTGAGTAGTCCCTGGTATATCTGATAGAGAAAACAAACTAGTTATGATATCAGTTAAAATATTAATTAAATCTTATTTATTTAATTTAGAATAACCTTTCTCCGTTCATACCACCATTCACAACTGAAACAATAAATGATAAGGTTAATTTTATTCAGTATTAAATATAATTAGGCTTACAGATTTTTAATACAGTAGGGTCCTGCTTCATGAGCGATGTGCATTCTTGAAAAAAGTTATCATAAAGGGAATTCTCATTCAATGTTACCCATTTTTCCATAGGATCCCATGTTAAAAGCCAAGATGTGTTACAGCCCAAAATTTTTGTACCCTATACTCCATGGTATAAACTTATATGTACTCCAGCCCAAAGAATATTTACCCAAAAACATAAACTAACAAGATTAAATAATGTTTTAGTGTACCTTCACACCTCACTTAGAAGTGCCCCTTAGAATGATCGAGAAAATCTATACAATAAAAAGACGAAGAAATCCATAAAGTAAGAAGTGAGCATGAGAAGCACATGCCAAGTAAATGCACCATCACTAATGAGAGAAACATATCTGAGCCAATAATCACATTTCTCTTCAGTTTTAAACACTGCTGGTAGATGTGTGTTTAATCCACCTTGATTCTCTCTTTGTCTGCCTAATTATTGTGTGTTTTTGTCAGTGTTTTAGACCCATAATGTCCGGAAAAGGGCATGTAAGTGTTACTGCTGGAAATAAGACAATAATACTGTATTAGGGAAAATGCAAATGGGTGAGCATCAGGTGGTTGTGGGTCATACATTACACTTGGCTATTTCGACCATTGGAGTTAATACTATTCTAAGACGTCGTCGCTACTTAGCGTCAAATAAAACTTCACATTTCTGGGATCTGGATGCTATTCAGCGTCAACAGAGAAAATTATTCCCTTAATATCAGCTGATTCCTCGAATGCATCAAAAATTGGACAAATGGTAGTGTTTGGCACACATGTCCTGGGAGTTACCTCCTCCCTTGACCCTCCTAAGGAGAGATAGTTTTTTGAGTGACTGTACATGCAGGGCTGGATTCAGGAGTGGACAAAGTGGGCAGCTGCCCAGGGACCTCCACAATCTGGGAGCCTCCACATATTACAATATTTTATTTATTTGTTTATTCATTTGGATTATTTTTATTTTCATTCTTTAAAATTCATGTTTATTTTTGACATGTGCAGTAGGAGCTATATCAGGGCTGGTCGACTTGAAACCACATGAATGACTCCAGTCATGTCTCACTTTTGTGTGTGTGTGTGTGTTGGGAATTTGTACACTATCAATAAATATACAGTTAATTAAAAATTTCTCAATGTTCTAATTTCCTCAATATAACTGCATATGGCTTCAAAATTCTCCAAAGAAGTGTTCAAATTTCACAATTTTCCCGGGGGGCTTACAGCGCCCCCCCCCGGAACTCCCAGATGTTTAGGCTCGCTTCACTCGCCACCCCATCCTCTTGGGTAGTTATAATGAGGGGGGCCTCCACAAAGAGGCTGCCCATGAGCCTCCACAGGTCTAAATCCGGCACTGAGTACATGCATACAGAGAGAGAAAGAGAGACAGATGCAAGTTTTATCCACAATGGATACTTACCAGGGCCAGCAGTTATAGTTGCTACAGCTTCTTCACAAAGAAAATTAATGATGGTACTCTGAGGTACAGGAAGAGCATGAATCAAGTCCCGAGCCAACTGCATGACGCCACTCCTTTTCAAACGCAGCACCATTGACACAATCTGTTAATGGAGAGAAATTCTGTAGATGAGATAATCCCAGAGGATCAACTATCAGGGAAACTTTGAAGTGGTACAATCAGGGGTGAATTCAAGGGGGGTCTCACACACACCCCCCCCTTCATCAAAAAATTTCAATACTTTTTCTTTAATGCGGTATTGTACTCAGGCATTTTTGTATAGTAAAAAGTAATTACTATTGACCTCAGAATATCTCCTAATATAAAATGCACACAGTTTCAAAATGGCTTCAAAACGCCCAAAATATAATATTGGTCATATTTCAAATTGTTTTCTGGGGAGGGAGGGAAGAGGGGGGGACTTACAGCACCCTCCCACAACCCCCTAGCTGGGTGGGCTGTGCTTGACATATTCTCCCACCCACAACTTCTTGGACCCCCCTTTTGATATTCCTGGATCCATCCCCGACAATCAGTGAATAAATTCTAGCATCAAAAATAAAAAAGGTTTTTATTAATAGAACAAAGCTAATAACATAATAAATAGTAAAATAAGTGATGTCTGAAACTCAACACGGCATGCTTGCTGTGAAGCACGAGGCCTCACTGATGTACACATTCCATTTAGAATTGCCACATATAAATAAATAAAAAAAATTCTATGTATGAATTCCATTTTTTATTCACATACCTATCCAGTGATTATATATAATCACAAGTCAAGCCTAAAACTAATGTGGAAATAAGAAAATAAAGTGGTGTAAAATAAATGCTGTGTGTGATATGTCTCACAGGCCACACAGAGATCGTAGCAGTGTTGCATTTAAAAGGCCAAGGCTGGTTCCCATGGAAACGGATATGCTACACAATAACTTCAAAGATTTAGCCAACCTGACAGTTCAGTTGCCACTTTCTAACCAATTCACATGATTTTAGAAATCATTATCTAGCTTTTTCAGCAAAAAACTGAAATTGATTTTTTGGTAACCAGAGGGGGGATATCTAGGTTTATTATATGGAAATCTGTACAGTACAGTGGTCCCTCGGTTATTGAACACAATTCGTTCCACAGAGTCGCTCGTTAACCAAAAATTTTGTTAACCAAATCCATTGTTTCAATGGGATATTGGGTAATTGGTTCCAGCTCACAAAAAAGTACATACAAAGTAAAAAAAAAATGCAGTAAAGTACACTTACTTTGAGGTGTGTATGTAGAAGGTTCCTGGTTGATAATGATGATGGGAATTAGAAGTGGGGGTGGAGGAGAAGGAAGTGGGGATGGTGGAGAAATCACCTTTCAGGGGACCCATGCTTGATGCAGTAATTTCAACAATCAAATTTTAAGTTCACTAGGTTTAGTTCAAGATTATTTTATTTAAATCAACACTGCGCTGCGCTATATATTATCAATATGTTAACTAAATTTCAGAATGACCAATAATTTTAAGGCAAAAATATTCAAGGCACCAACAAAATCGATGTTCACTCCACTGTAAACAAAGCCAAACGGACGCCTGGTGGGTGAGTCAAGCGGCTGATGGGTGCACAAAAAACTAGTTCCCTGTAAAGCATATATTATCAATATGTTAACTAAATTTTTAAATGACTAATAATTTTAATATAAAAATTGCAAAAATATTAAAGAGTACAACTTTCTTGATAATTACTCCACTGGATGTAAACATAGAACAGATTACAGTCAACCCTCGCTTTACGCGGTCCCACATTCCGCGTTCCCACGTTAACGCGGTGCCCTGCCAGAACCTAACGTGCTCACATTACGCGGTGCGTGAACCCCATTACGCGGAGAGTATCCGGCGCGACGCTATTTTTAGATTCACCCCACCCGCCTGCCTGCCTGTGCTCTCGCCTCTCCCTCCTCCTCCCTCCCTCCCTCCTCCCTCAGCCTGGGCAAGCCGCGCGGTAAGGTTGCTCAGTGTGTGTCTTTGTTGCGTTATCACTGACGTCATATGACGTATCGGACTGTGATTGACCATGCATCCCTACCCCCCTCTGCTGCTAGCTGTAATTGGCTTAAAGTATTATGACGTGTCCACCCGGGGGAGGGAGGGAGGGAGGAAAGACGATGCTTGACCTAGCCGCGCCAGTTTCATCCCTCCAGGCCAGACCGTGTAAACGTGTATCCATTGTTCTGTAAAATGGCTTCCGCCGGACCACCGCCCCCAGAGAGAAACCTTTCCTTACCTGGGCCCAGCGGCACTAAGCCAAAGAAGACACGACGTTCCTTAAGCTACGAGGTGAAGTATACCATCATCCAAGAGATGGTGAAAGGAACAAGGCAGGTTGATTTGCCGCGCCAGCATGGTGTGAATGAATCTACGATTCGAACAATAAAGAAGGATGCAGCCAAGATAAAGGAGCACATGAAGATCACAAAGTCAACAGGTGCTTCTATGATCAAGTGTTTTCACAACCAGGTGCTTCTCAAGACAGAAAAATTACTTGTGAGGTACTTGGTGCGTCAGGCGTGACGGAACATGGCGGTCCACACGCGCTATGTTAAGGAGTACACACGTGAACAGTACATTGCAGTGGCACGAAAGATGGGAATTACAGAGCCCAAACCCTTTAATGCTTCCTCTGGGTGGTTACAGAGGTTTAAGATCCGGAACAAGATCGCCAATATAAACATTGGTGGTGAAGAAGCGAGTGCTGACCGTGCTGCGGCTAGGGAATTTCCTCCGTTTTTACGTGAGATTATGGAGGAAGGACAGTACACCGACGACCAGGTGTTTAACATGGACGAATCTGGTCTTTTTTGGAAAAAGCTACCTTCCAATACCTTCGTTGTGAAGAATGCCAGCAAGTGTCGGGGCCGGAAGTTGCAGAAGGAGCGCATCACCGTCCTGTTTACCACCAATGCCTCCGGTACCTGTAAGCTCAAGTTATCGGTGATCCACACAGCACGCAAGCTGCATGCCTACAAAACCATGGACATGACCAAGCTAAATGTCCACTGGCTGACCGCACGTAAGGCGTGGATGTTCTCTACACTGTCCCTCTCCTGGTTTGATGACTGTTTTGTTCCCGATGTAAAGAAATTCTGTGAGCGACAGAATGTGCCATTCAAGAGTTTGTTTCTGCTGGACAACGCATCAGGACACTCGCCCCTACTGTTAGATCGTCACCCCAACGTAAAAGTGGTCTTCCTTCCTCCAAACACTACGTCTATATTACAGCCCATGGACCAAGAGTTAATCTGTAATGTAAAAGCTGCATTCTCTACGAAAAAATTCAAGCTCCTGAACGACTACACCAACACCAGGGAAGAGTTGCGTAACCTGAGTGACACCACCACCGATAGCAAGAGCGAAGAAGATGAGGATCAATAGTTGGCACAGCAAAAAATACTGTTCAAACAATTCTGGAGAGTATTTAACATCAAGAAAGCTGTGGACTTCTTGGTGGAGTCATGGGATCAGCTGTCTATTGCTACAATTCGTCACGCATGGAGACATGTGTTGCATGGAATACCAGGTGAGAGGAGGAGTCAATCTGTGACTGGTGAGGTTCAGACTGTTGCAGTAGCAGTGGACCTTGCCAGAGAAGCTGCGCAGAGTGTTACAGCTGCAGGCTTCTCCGAGACCACCAACGACGACATCATGGAGGTGATAATGGAACCTGATGTGACTACCGAGGAGATGGTACATGATGATGACGATGTCAGTGAAGAGGCAAGTGGTGCGTCATCCCAAGAACAACAACACTTATCCCATAGTAATGTTAGGGGTGCCATCGAGTGTATCGAGAAAGCCAAGCTCCTCCTTTCCGATGACCCTGACGCAAACAGGTATGAAATCTTCACTACCCAGCTGTTGCAGACTATGGAGCCCTACATCAAGGTGTATCACGACAACATCAACACCAGCCGTCAGCAAAGCATAACAGATTTCTTCGCCCGCAACCCACCACAGCCAGCCCAAGCCAGTGATAGTGACAGTGAAGATGACTTTGAGGGATTTGTCAGGGAAGCCCTGACAACTGTAAGTGACAGTGATGGTGATGCACCTAGTAATGGTGATTCACCTGAGGGCCAGTAGCCTGCCCTCTGCCTCAGAACCAGCCTCCATCTCCGTACGCCGACCCATCTCTTCTACTAACGTAAGTGTTCCACCTAACTTTTAGTTTTCCTAACCTAACCTTTATTTTTCCTATGTTAACCTTTATTTTTCCTAACCTAACCTCTTCTATATTACTTGTTTTTTCATACCATCATAAAGTTGAGATAAAATTTTTACTACAACATAGTTGTGTGTCGTCAAAAAGTGGAGTTTGGGGGTCGGCTCGGACTCTATTTCAATTAATCCCATATGTTATGTTATTCACTTTACGCGTTCCTCACTTTCCGCGGGACCCTGCAGGTTACATTAACCGCGTAAAGTGAGGGTTGACTGTACAGAATTGGCAGACTAGTCCATCAGCTGATCAGCTGATGCTCACAACAAAATGTGTTTGTCGTAAGGACTTCGTTAATTGAAGTTTTGTTCGTTAACCGAATTGAAGATCCTTATGGGAGGTAATTCGTTAACCGAAATTTCGTTAATCGAACTGTTCGTTAACCGAGGGACCACTGTAATGTATTGTTTTAGTTAATCGTCTTTCTAAACTAACTATGTACAGAACAGGAAGCCCTGAGATACCTGTGTCAGCATCTTCCAGTGCTGTAAGAAAAATTAGCCCCCCTCCCCCTCCAAAAAAAAAAAAGATTCATATCTTCAAATTACAATATATTTATGAAACACAAGACAAAGTAATTTTTGGGGTAATTTCAGATTTTTGTAAACCAAATCTTCATAAATCAGGGGCTGCCTGTATATGATTGTGGCAGCCTTCCATGGCATTAGCAAGGATAGAAATATGACATATAATCAAATGTTATACGACTTACAGTAATTCTTATAGAATAAAATAGGCTACATTAAATCTACCCTTTAAATATCCCTAAGCTCTCTAATAATACAACTAACCCGAGTTCACTCAGAATCTGATGGACAAGTACTTTACTCACCTTTCTCACAAAGGTAAATAAAAAAGAGTGAGATTATTAATATACACGTATGTAATATAAGAGTATTTTACATATCACTCACTAATAATAAATACAGTGAACCCTCGCTTAACGCGGTTTCACTTTACGCGTTTCTACATTTACGCGGAACCCTGCCAGAACCGGAATTCCCACTTTACGCGGTGCATCTACTCATATACGTGGGTGAAGTATAATTTTTTTATTTAGCTCATAAAATTCATACAAATTATCCGGCCAGAATATAATTTACATTGCTGGAATTCTTACAATTTGATGATCATTTTGAATATAAGCATCATAGATTTTGCATTAGACATACAAATTTTAGATCTAATGCAAGTATTTTGTTTACTCAGAGCAAATATGTTATCTTTTGTGCAAAATATATGAAGTGTATATTCAAAATATTCCTAGTCTTGCAAGAAATCCAGCAATGTCAATTATATTATCCTAACTTTAGTCTGAGGTATTATTTATTACTAAAAATGTAAATATACTGTTATAACCCAATCATTTCTCTGGTAGGGAGGGAAGGTGGGGGTGAGGGGTAGGGAGGGAGGGAGGGACCCAGGGAGCAGGTGGGAAAAGGGGGGGAGGTGGAGTATTTTGATTGACAGATAGTATTTCGGTAAGTATATTTTGTATATTTATTGAAGATATTTGTTTTAGCTCATAAAATTCATACAAATAATCGGGCCAGAATATAATTTACATTGCTGGAATTCTTACAATTTGATGATCATTTTGAATATAAACATCATACATTTTGCATTAGACATACAAATTTTAGATCTACTTTAAGTATTTTGTTTACTCTGAGTAAATATGTTATCTTTTGTGCAAAATATATGACATTTATATTCAAAATATTCCTGGTCTTACAAGGAATCCAGCAATGTCAATTATATTATCCTAACTTTAGTTTGAGGTATTATTTATTACTATACCTTAAAATCTAGTGGTTTTCCTCCCAAAATTTCTCAGAGAAGGAAGAGCCAGCGAGTGTAGTGTGAGAAGAGGGGGAAGGAGTTGAGTCCATTATTTGAATGGACATTAACTTGGCGACTGTATTTCTCTATTTCTCTTAAGTATTAATTGTGTGCATGTACCATCATAAAATTAAGATGTTATTTTTACTAGAACATAGGTTTTGTGTCGGAAAAAGTGGAGTTTGGGGGTCAGCCAGTCTCTATTTCATTTAATCCCATATGTTATGTTGTTCACTTTACGCGTTTCTCGCTTTACGCGGGCCTCGTGGGTTCAATTGACCTCGTAAAGTGAGGGTTCACTGTATTAGAAAATAGAACTAAAAAAAAAACAATCTTACAGAATACATTAATAAATTAATACTAATACTAATATTATTATTATTATTATTAATAATAAATTTAATAATAATAACAATATCATCACTACTATCATTATTATAAATGGAGCCACCCATGGAGGTATAAAGGGTGGAGGCAGCATGCACGACTCCCAGTACTGTCAGGTGAAGCCAATTCTCCCGCCAGCCATCTTTGTGTTGGCTGGTCGTGCACCAGGAGGCTGAGTGACCCTCATTGACACTGGTTTGCACTGTTTACACTCATCCATAGTATCCCTGTGTGATTAAGAGAAACTATTATTTTATTTTAAACCATTTATTATATACTATAGTACAATAAAACTACATTTCAATGAACAACAGAGTCTTTGAGCAAGATAACATTTATCAAAATGAGGAATTTGATGTGCTCTCAGAAGAGGGAAATACTAACTTAGTTTCATCTAGTGTGGTCTCTCCTTGTACTGAGAAAATAGTTGCATATATAGCTGGTTTTGTTAGTGTGAAACTTAAGAAATCTTTGAAGTGTGAAGCATGTTGTAGTGTACTATTTACCCAAAATGTTGATGAAAATCATGCATTAATCACTACGAAAACCAAAGGGAATCTATCATTTCCAACTAAAGACGTCATTGCTATACTGTATGTTGCTTAAGCAAAAAGATATTCAGAGAAAAAATATTGCTTGCCAGTAAAATACACCCCTATGCAAAACTGTCAACATATGATTACCACAAAATTGTAATTTATGTATTGTCGGAGTTCTTGAACAAAACTATATTTCCAGGCTTGGCAATACACACGTCAGAAAGTGATTGTCTCAACAATCATCTTGTATTGCTAATCAAAGCAGTAGCCGAGACCTATCTACAGGTCTACATGTCTACATATCTACATACGTATGCAGGCAAACAGTTCACAGCATGAAACGATTCTCAAAGCTGTCAAAAGTAGAACTAGTGTGAGGAAAGAACTTGTTCAGCAGAATCTAATAATCAGTCTGCAAGGTAAAAATGCACAGAAATCCCCGTGCTCAGGGTACCAGATTCGTGCCAGTATAAGGATAATTGATGATAATGATTAGTGTTGTTCATTGAAATGTAGTTTTATTGTACTATAGTATATATAATAATAAAATGTTATTGCTTAATCACACAGGATGGATGAGTGTAAACGCAAACCAGTGTCAATGAGGGTCACTCAAGCTCCTGGTGGCGACCAGCCAACACAAAGATGGCCGACGGGGAGAATTCTTCAGGGGCCGCAGCATGCCGCCTCCATCCTTTATACCTCCATAGTGCCATCCATGAAAGCACTTGCCGAGCCATTTGCTTTACCGCCTCTGAATGCTCTGCTGGATCATGTCTGTTGTAAAATTGATTTATCTAACAATTTCTCTTACATGATGAAGTAGATTTTGATTTAGTGTTAAGCTCTTAAAATGGATTAATTTGCTAATACCTGTAGTATTTAATGATATCATTACTACACTTTAGATAGAAGTTACATTGCTAATAGGACAATACTGTGTCCCTTTTTGACCTTGTACAGTACTTCAACAGTAGGTGTTCCGGGGTAAAGTTAAGATGGTCAAGGAAAATATTCCCTGTTACACCATGTTATAATGGGTTTCCCAATCACAAATTCCTCAATCAGTCCTTACATAATATGTAAAGTATCCCCGTAATTGTAGAGGACAACCTGTATTTGATTTGGTTAGGCCAACGAAGGAGCTTGTATAGTGCATCCTGTTTTGAGTGCACAAAAAAAAAAAAATTTTCTGAGTATTGGTATGATAATACAGTATGTTCTTGATTTAAAAAAATAACAGTACTGTACTTACTGTTACAGGATTACGATGATGTACAAGATAAATAAATGACAGATCCAAAGATGCTGCAACTTTATACAACATAATAATTCGTTCAGCAGTTTTCTTGCCCACTGTTAGTTCTGGAAAAAAAAGGAAATAGTGTACATTATGAGGTAAGATAAATGTTTATTTTTCCATAAATAACTACAGCTAGTGAGTTTACTAACTTTCATACCCTGAGTGAAAGAATACACAGTAGTACTATATAGTCTGTTCACTCATAGCTTACAACTGAGACTTTGGGTCAATTTGTAGCAAGGCAGCTGATTGGTTGGCAGACACACATGGGAAAAGTCACTACAGTTCTTTACTATTTAATCTATTGTATTATAATCTCATATTTTAAGGGATAATAATTATTCTATGATAATCCCTGATAATTTCTGCACTTGAGGAAAAAAAATTTAATGTGAAATACTCTGCCAAGTCACTTGTTTTTACATGAGTTTGAGGAGTAAGTTATACATACCACTTATATACAGTAAAAGTCCAAAAATCCGGATGCCAGAAATCCGGACACCTGAGAATCCGGACTTTTCGAAAACTCAAACTTTTTTTTTTTAACGGGCTTTTGTGTGTAAAGATGCGAGCACCACAGCTGCACATGACAACAAGCGACCACGTGGTCGCCACTTTAAAACGAGCACTCAAACTGTGACAACATATGTAATTTTGAATCCTACTCTTCCATTTACAGAGTACTGCACAAGCCCATAATAATGGCTCCTAAAGTAGATAAACTTAGTTGTGTGAAGAGAAAGAAGAACACTTTGAAATTGAGTGACAAACTTGAAATAATTAAAACTAGAACGTGGTGTAAGCAATACTGTTCTAGAAACATACGACATTGAAAGTCTACAATTTATGATATAAAAGGCAAAGAATAAAATTCTAGAATTCACAGCTTTTTTTAAAACTGTCTCGTATAAATGAAGCATGGTATATTTGCTAATGAATAAACTATCAAAATGTACCTGTTCATCTCTTCTTTATTCCTCCTTAAATTTGAATTTTAAAAGTACTGCCTGAGAATCCGGAAAATCCGAAAATCCGGATTGACCCAATCCCCAGGCAGTCCGGATTTTTGGACTTCTACTGTATGGTGATTGTAGATGACACATTGAAAGCTTATTTATAAACGTAATAACATTTTAAGTTTTTTGTGTAATGATTGTTATTGAAATAAGTAAGCATGCTGGTTGTAACAAAAAACTGCATACATATTTTCTTTATTACTCATAAAATTATAAAAAATTGCAAAAATTTTTGTGACTTTGGGATTTTTATTTGTAGATAAGATCATGACAAAAAAAGTTTGTACCTTTGAATTTTTGTAAACCAAACCTTCCATATTGTCTAGTTTTATCTCTTTATCACAAAACTTTCAATAAACTTCTCATGTTATATGTGCACTAACATACTGTACATTATGATACCCCTAATTCCCATCCTATACTGTATCAGTTATCATTCTAACACAATAACTGAAACACTGAATACCTTACCAGAGGCAACTTTGATTAAAGCTGATGTATACATTCCAAGATCTTCCTCAAGAGACATCATACTGTAGCTACTGTAACTGCTACCAATGGTACTTCTGCCTGTAAGGTGCAATGGATTTTATTTCACTGCTGAAGAAAGACCCCGAAGTCTCAAATCCATTTATATATTCAGTACAGTAAAAGACTAAAAGTAAAATCTAATGATATTAAATATTATGCATGCATAAAAAACTACGTGTCAAACATACTTAGTGTGCGCTCTCGTCGTGCCACATTCTGATATGATAAAGTTCTGTGAGTCTCAGTCATAACGGTCTTCTCAGCCCCTACTTTCTCTATTTTGTTGCCACTAGCCAACCCAAGCAACTGCAGCAGCAGCTGTACATTCTGAAATTCAAATGTATTTACCATTTATGTCAACAGGTACAGCACAAGAATACAGCAGCCTTGTGAGCTTTGTGATTGCTTTGTTCTGGGGACCCAGCGCGACATATGTTTACATGTTAAAGGTACGTGTTTGCTCTGGCACTCATACCAAAATTCCCCTTTTTTGTCCTTCACTCCCCCCATTTGAACTAGAAAATAATGCTCTAATGTGACTTATAAAATAAAGAAAATATGAAAATATAATATAAAACTATAAAATATAAAAAACAATAAGTGGAAAGGAATAATGCATAAGGAAGTATAGTAGGTATCACATAAACAAGTTTAAGGAAAACACTGACAATTCACTGTGTGATAACCTTGGACCTACAGCAGGCCCTCCTACCCCTCACATATATTTCAGATCTTATGAGGCTTCATGGACATTTTATACTAAATACAAAGAGTCAGGGGATCAGTACCTAGCATATAGAGTATATATACTGGACAGTACAGTGATCCCTCGGTTAACGAACGCCTCGGTTAACGAAAATTTTTCATGAATTACCTTCATAATCTTCATTCGTTAACGAAATTTTAAGTAACGAATTACCTTCCATAAGAATCTTCAATTCGGTAACAAAAATTCGGTTAACAAAATTTTTACGAAATCATGTCAACATGTTTTCGCTTGTTCACCAGCTGGAATATTAGCTTAAATTCGTTCCCATTTGAGTAAATATCAAGAAGGTTGTACTATTCAATAATTTTCCAAGTTTTATATTAAATTTTTTAGTAATTTTAACACTTATTTAACATAATTGCAGTACAGGAAACTAGTTTTTGTGCCAATCAGCCACTTGCCTCACCCAGCAAGGCGTCAGTTTGTATCTCTGGTCAGTGGCGGTAACATCTTGCTTGTGGCTCTCTTGAACATAAACTATTTTTACATTTTTACAGTACAGTTATTGGTCATTTTGAAATTTATTTTGCATATTGACAATATTTAGTGCAGTGCAGTGTTGATTTAAAGAAAATCATCTTGAATTACACCTAGTGAACTTAAAATTTTATGGGTGAAATGACGGCATGAAGCATGGGGTGATTTCTCTTCCACCCCCACTTCTAATTCCCATCATCATCATCATCATCATCAACCAGGAGCCTTCTACATACACACCTGAAAAAGTACTTAACTGCATTTATAGTATTTTTACTTTGTATGTAATTTTCGAGCTGGAACCAACTACCCAAAATCTCACTGAAACAATGGTTTCGGTTAACGAACGACCTTCTGGAACGAATTGTGTTCGTTAACTGAGGGACCACTGTATGTCTAAAGAACAAAATCAAACAAACCTTGTTAGTTTCTTTGAAGAATCTCAGTATCCGACAAGCAGTAATACATCCCATTGCTTACACAATGGTTTACCAGGGCCTGAATCGTCTCATGTTTTCCTTGATCATTATGATTGTCTTGCCAACTTTCCTGCTCTCTTTCCGGCTGATCATCACTTGTGTCTTTACACTGCGGCTTTTGTTTGGTTCTTTGTCACACGTTTGTACACTTTGTATCTCCTTTTTGTCTGGCATCTCATTACATCTTTTGGTACACAAAATGGTATTTGAAATCTTCCTTAAGTTTTTAATATCTGATGTTTCAATATTGGAATAGTCTATGTTACCTGATTCAGCATCACCTTTATTATTAGTTGAAAATGAACTGTCCAATTCCTCTTGATTTATTGTTAAAAGACAATCAGGTAGTCCAGCTGACTTTAGCACAACATCATGGTCAAGAGGGCTAACCCCATCTTGTCCTTCCCAAGGCCATGTACCAAGATCACTTGGTGGCCTAATTGTTAGGCTCGAAAATCCTGGTTCTTGAGAGTGAAAAGCCTCGACATAGGCTTGCCACATTTCATATTCAAGCGTCACAAAACCTGAAGGTGGACTATGTGCACTTTGTAATTCATGAGATAAATCTAAGTTGCTATCAAGGGATGAAGGGCCATTAAAAGCAGTGCTTTCATCTTTTTTGATGGACCAGATCAGTGCATACTGCAGACACAGACACTTCAGGGTAGATGATTCAAGCTCCTTACTTATGGCTATAAATAATGCAGCTGCATGTTCTGAAGGCACAGATTCCTTAATAGCTTTTTTTGGCTACTACAAAGGAATTCTTCAAACATAGAATAATTTGCAGTGACAATTGACTTATTTTTTTCAAACAAAGCTCTTAACTGGGCACAAACAATAGTATAAACTGGAAGGTTTGTCAGCTGACACACTTGAAGGCTCTCAGTAAAGAATCTCATTGCACAGATTTGTCACAAGTTTTTCTGCAATTTCTTTCACTTCCCCTGCTTCAAAACTCCAGAGTAATTCTCTATAAGTTATTTGGTGTTTAACTACTCCCACTGCCTTGCAGATTTGACTTACCAAATTCCAATTGACAGAATGACTGCAAAATGGGGGCAGTTGACTAACTGATGTTAGTGCAGAGAGAAACTGATACTGCAAGTAACTATTGGTAATGAAAGTATCAAGTGTTATGCCAATAATATCAAGTGCAGTTCTTGTGATCCATTCTCTTTCAATATCAGATGTATATTGCTCTGCTTGAGATTCTTCATTCATAGCAGAGGCAGAAGTGGAAAGTATCCGAGTGATTTTGTCCTAACATGTTCTTCACTTCTTGTATAGCTAGAAGAAGAGAAAGAATCGGGGAATACAGATCAAACACCTTCAGACCTTCAACAGCAATATCAATTGATCCCTCTGAAACATGAGACTGAAGGAACCAGCTTTGTTCTTGAAGTCCTGACTGCAGCACACAAGTATCACAACCACGGCAGCAATTTTTTACTGAAAGATTACATCGTTGGTTCACTAAATTCTCACTAAGGGCTGCTTGGTGGATCTCACTCTCTGCCAATTGGTAATGCAAAGTGCTTTGGACTTTCTGTGATAGCTGAGTATATAACCACACAGACAGACAGAGAGAGGGATCATGCTTCTCATAACATGCGCAAAATACAGCCAATATTGGAGTACGTAATGAAACCGCTGCTGTGATTAATTCACTGGTACTATTTTCACGTTGATGACATGTCAGCAATATTGAATACAAATCTTTAGGCTCATATGACAACCAGGCATCAACTCCCACATCAAATGTAGTTTCTGTTGTAGTACAAGAAAGAGCATCATCAATAATGGATATTTCACTATCACTGGGACTGGTGCTAATTTGTTTTTCATCACCACTATGTACCGGGGACTGAGAATTGTCTCTGCTGTGGATCCCAATCTTAGCATACAAAGCTGACCTTTTGCTCTGACCTGTGGCTTTTGTTGTTTCTCGAGACTGATGTGCTTACTTATAATAGTACATGTGGGTAAGGGCAAGCATCATGTGTTCTCTCAAGGCAACACTCTGGAAAAATTCTGTCACTTTTAACACTTCAAGTTTTGGGCAATTAAAGACTTGAACAATGACAAGGAAAAGCAGCCAGTGGTTTGACTCTGCTAATTTTGTCAAAAGCTTAACTGGCCAAGGGAGGTTATATATAGAAGACAGTTCAACACACAGTCTCATACCTTCTATTAGCAGGTGCATGTGCTTCTGAGTAATTTCTTGTGTAAATATATTGCCCATCATATCTACCACAGTGTTTAGTGGGAGTGACAACTCAAACAATTCCCCAGGTCCAAGGCTTCCCCTTACATTTACCTTATTTTTGCAACTGACAGAATAATACAGTTTTCAAGCATTTCTAATAAAGCTGCTGCAGCCTCTGCTCTAGTTTCCAGAATACAAAGTTGCTGAAGAATACTTCCAATTTCTGTTTCAATAAGAAGTTCATGTCCTTTTCGTTTCTCTGTGGTCAGCTTCATGCACCATGCAGTTCGTCTGGGATAGATCTGAGGAACAGAAAATTCCTTGTGCATAAAACAGATTTAAGAAAACTACATCTTATGAGATGGCAAGAGACCAAAGATCAATAGGGATGCACAAAAACCATAATATCAAGTTTTGGCCAGAATCAGAACTTAGTGTGCTACAGTTGATTGAAAAGAATATACAGTACTGTACAGTATATCAGATTCTCAGGTTTAGTGTTTTCTGTCCTTTTTCACAGTGTACATCAGAAATTTATCATCATTATAAATACAGTAATTCTGCATATTCTGATTACAGTGTATGATATTCTATATATCAAATACATTAGGTGTCATGTATGGTACAATAAATACGATTTCAGATGCAATAATGTTTTTACTACACATACATCAATATTCATTAACCATTCATTACTTTTTATGCTGCATTGTCAATTAGAAATAAGAAGCATTAACAATGAATTATATTTTAATTTATGATAAAATAACCAGCACCACAATAAAAAGTTCTGGTTCTAGCCAGTTATTTTACCGAAGTTCTGACTGGAATCGTAACATTATAAAAATCAAAGTTCCGGCCGGAACTAACTTTTGGTGCATCCCTGAAGATTAACAGAGGTACAGTAATGGATTATTTGCACATATATAGGTGTGCAAACAGTAATGATTTCCATGCTACAGATAAAAATACAGCTGAATATAATTGTAACAGCATAATAATAAAAAAATCATAACTCATATTATGTAGCCATTTAACAATCAAAATATTCTTAAAAAAAAAAAAAAAAAAAAAAAGGACTTACCAGAAATGCAGAAGCCAAAACTATCCTGAGGGAGTCAGCCTCAAGGCTAGTCATGAGAAGAACAGATATACAGGCAGAACAAATGGCACGGTTTGGCCAACTACTGAGAGCAAATCCATACACTTTGTTCTTGAATTCATCAATTCTGTGTTAAATTAAAATGGAAAATTCAATATTACTTATAATGTACAAAAAACTTTCTAATGTTACAAGAGATTTTAAACACAACTGGAAAAGGTTTTATCACTACAGGTGCTCCTCTACTTAAGTACGTTCAACTTACAAACTTTCAGAGATACAAATATCATCACTGAGGGGGGTTACCTGCCAGAACAGGTGTTTAATGTGGATAAGACTGGATTATTTTGAAGAAAATTCCAGATAGAACAAACATTACCTGAGAGGAGAAGAGTGAGCCAGGTTTTAAGGCTGTATTAAAGGATATAGCTGTACTAAATATCCATAATCTTTTAATTTTTTACAATATATTTGGTATCTACAAGAGTAAAGTTGGACTTACAAACAAGCTTCAGGAACATAACTCATTCATAAGTAGAGGAGAACCTGTATAAGAATTCATGAAAAAAAAAAGGAAAACATAGTACAAAATACTACTACTTACTTTTTCTTGTTTTTGTTTGCATAAATGCTTGCCAGGATTGCAGCACAAGCATACGTGAGTCGACATTCTTTAAGATAGTACAAATACTCCAAGGAATGCAGGATGCCATGTTTTTTTACCAACTCTTCATTACTAAAACTAGTAATTCCAGCATTTATATCATACCCATATCTGTGAATGTCAAAAATATATTCAGAAGATAATACATATAAATAAATACAGTATATTCAGATATGAAATCAACACATTAAAAGGATTATCAAGTGCGATTTAGTAAAATATATCCAAAGTTGTCTTTCAAACTGTTACTCAATCTTTTACTGAGTGTTTTCAATGGGAATAGAAATTTCTAGGAACATCTACCTTAACAAATTTGTTTGGAGTTTGATCTACTTTCTTGAATAAAGTGTTCAATATAAAATATACAGTGTAGACCATACATCCCAATTGGTCATAATTATGGGGAAATACACAAAATTAAAACAAAGGAGATATTTTAAAAAAGATTTGAAATATACATTGGTCATCCAAAGTAAAAAATACTGTACAACCATCTTGGCACATAATCCCTCATTAGCTAATGATTTTTGTATTATCCCCTTAATCATAACCAACTGAGTCTCACAGGCCACTCTGTAAATTAATATTATGTCATCTTTATTAATATTGTCATTGTGAGAGTTAAAACATTTGCCATCTTAAAGAAGGATGAAAACACTATCATTTAACAACTGTATAGAATATGGAAATATTAGATATTATGTTGCAAAAGTGTAATGTGTTATTTTCTCCTGGATATTAGGTAGCCATTGGTAATGTCCATTGAACAATGACACACCATATACAGTACTATACTGTACGGGCATAAAAGTACAGTTACATTAGAGCATTGTATCGCAGTATTTTCTGGATGTTTTAGATAATTTAGGATGGGTTCGGTTTACTGTACAGTTAATTCGTTGAAGAGAGGTACTACTGGAATCTGAGGAGCCATTCAGTATACCTATAAAGTCGCCCTCATACGCTATGGGGTTACGGCTGGGGTTGCAACAGATACCCGTGGATGTTAAACTGACATTTGTGCTGCCCCAAAAAACCTGACCCCATGTCCTTATTTATCAGAGTATACCTGTGCGAGTTCAAGTTTTTAAGACCAAATTATTTTGGCAAAAAATTGGGGGCTCACCCCTCTAAACGGGTAATAGTTTTATAGGTTGAAAAATATTTACCAGTAACTACCAGTAAACAATAGAAATGACACACCAACACACCACCAGCTGAGTGTCGGTACAGTTGCTAGGGCAGATTCTCTTTAAGGCCATCATAGCAAGCCCAAAGTAGCCAAATGCATGGTATGGTATGCACAGGACGATGTAAAACATAAAGTATTCATTTTTAAAGTTTATTTATAGATACTGTACATAAATTTTGTTCATTACATTTGAAACATCAATCTTGTTAATTAAATTTAAAACAAAAAGAAAACCACGACATACCGTATTTCTAAATACCCGGTATTTTCATTAAAAATATTACATCACAAGTATATTTTACCTTAACTGTGACTGAATGAATATAGGTAAGTATTCTCAGAATAATTATAAATATATTTAAGGGAATGACGCATATGTTACAGTGAAAGATTAAAAACAATGACTTCGCTGTTGTTCAAAGATTTAATTGCAACGTCAATGGTTTTCAGTTAAAAACTGTTGTACTGCATTCGTATTACAATAATATTCTATCCTATCATTAGCCTTATAATCCTTCCACAACTAAAGACCATTCAAAAGCCAAATACGTAAAATATCTTTTGAACGTAAAGAAAGAGAAAGTCATTGCTTTCACAATTTTATCCCACTTTCCATCGTAATACGTACATCATTTCAGCAAAAATATTACATTTCCATGTTCTCAGCTAAATGGTAGTTTTGTTGAAACGTAATGTACAATATATAATATTAAAATGCAAAAATAGCTATAAAAACAATTAATACAATCTGCAATGTACTGGCTGGCATCTCCACTGCCTGCTCCTGCTGCCCAAGGTCACCACTCCTCCCAACTTCGCCTCCCTCAGCTCCTCCACCTCCTCTGCCTCCTTCACCCCCTCTGCCTATTAAATCTAACACACAAATGTTTTGTGAATAACTGCACTTCCATCTCTATGTACAGTACTGAACTGTACTGCCAGTATTTTTACAAACAATAAACATGGCAAGAAAAGCTATTAAAAAAAAAAAAAAAGAGATAAAAATTTCACTTTACTGTACAATACCTATCCTCGGCGACAGGACAATATCGGGCTCATCGTCACTCAATTCCATAACGGTGAAGTGGGGGCGACGATTCAGCTGTGCTCTCACTGTCGCCAGTGATTGATGGTGTTAAATCTCCTTCGGTGATCAAAGAACATGTAGATGGGGAGTTGCCTTTCTTTCATTTCTTCCATGATGTTTTTGTATGGAGCGAAACGTCCTCCATCCTCGGTGAGAGATGAATTTCAGGGCACGCACTAAGGAGGGGTCCAGGTACTATAGGCCAGGTTTTTCAGCGCTCAATAAGTCTTGGTCATCTTATTCCTGGTCATCTCCCAACTTCTCCCAACGTTATTTCGTGCTCTTCCCTCATCCTCTTCCTCGCCTCCTCTTCCTTGCCTGAGTCTACTAACTCCCAGATCCTCCTCGTCAGCTCAGTGGCGCGGCTCTCACCTCAGCTCCCCTAATCTCGTCCCTCTGCCATAAACCTTCAGCAGCCACTTTCCTGGATGAAAAGCCAGGGTCTTCTGAATATTTTCATTAAAAATCCACCCAAAATCATTTTCCTTGTCATCGCCTTAAGCACCAAACAAAGCTCCCAGTCTTCCTTGAACAGGGCTAGAGGGCAGAGCCAATCATTTTCAATTAAAAAAATGTTGCAGCACATGTATATTTTACCTAAATCAGCTCTGGAATGAATATATTCTCACACAAATAGTAGTTTAAAAGGAAACGCGGATGTATTTCAATGTAAAATAGGATAAAATACATGACGAAACAAAAGACTTTACTCTAACCTTCCAATGTTCTCAAGAGATGTTGATTGCTTTTTTAATAGTTTTCGTTAAAATACTGTTATATTACAATGATATATCTATACTGTGCTTGATACTACATTCACGGAAATATTTTGAAATGATTTATCAGATATAGTGGAGAAAGTGACGAAAGCAATGACTCGCTGCTCAAAAGATGTTACCGTAACGCTTGAATGGTTTTCAGTTAAAAATCGTTGCATCACAAGTGAATTAGGATAGAATATTATTGGAATAATAAATAAAGCTTTTAACTTTGAAAACCATTCAAAAAGCGTATTACGTAACATCTTTGAACTTAAAGAAAGCGAAGTCATTGCTTTTCACACTGTCCACTGCACAGCGACGCCATTTCGTAGCAAAAATATTACATTTCCATATTCTCAGAAATAAATAGTAGTTTTGCTGAAACGTAATGCATTTCAATAAATTTAGATAAACTACATGAAAACAAAGACTTGTACCTAACCTTCCGGCGTTCAAGATATGTTACTCGCTTTTTTAGTAGTTTTGTTAAATACTCTTATATTAGTGATATTCATACTGTGCTTGATATAATACATTCACGAAATGTAATATTATTTTTGCAACTACAATGCTGATGTCAACACAAGCGTGGTTGCTGTGTGCCAGACTGACTGAGTGAGGAGAGCTGTGCGCAGTGTCTGTAGGTTGCGGAGCGATCTGCGTCCCGGGTGGTTCGGTACGCACGCGAAGTTGAATGGGGCAAAGTATCGAATGTATTTCTCAATTACTAATGTGTTGCGAATAGCCTCCAGCGGGGCAATCCGCGTATTTGCAAATCCGTGTATTATAAACCCGCGTATGTTAAGGGCCGACTGTACCTTATAATGAATTTCAGTAATTGGAAGTTTGGTAAAGACAGCTAATACTGTATACCAAACAAAGTTTGGTATTAGATGAGTTATTAAGATTTTTGGTTTATACCAAAAAGCTCCCTATACCAAAATGGCTGCACATCGATTATTTTGGTAGAGAGAGGTAATACTGTACCCTGTATAGTAATTAAAAAGGCTGAAATGTGCTGACTTTGAACTTTGAGGTGAACAAATAAAAAGAAATATTTAAAAATATTAATTAATAGTGACTTTAGTTGCCAGTTTAAGAGGGCTGTTTGAGGGGTAGACTTATCGGGTGAGTATTGCACTAAACATGAATTTTTAGATGAAAAATTGCAGGTCAACTAATGCACGAGATGGACTTGTAAAGCAGTACAGTAGACACAGTAATTGCATAGAGAAAAATTACTGTAATTTAAGTATACAGTGCTGGACAAGAGATTGTGTGTAACAAAGGGCGAATATAACAAACCTGTTCTTTTTCTGAAATGTAAAGATCCGACTCAGGTCAAAAGAAACTGTGCCATGCAGGAGATCATAGACAGTAACATCCAATGATGTACCATTTTCTGATTTTGTAAACATCTTCTGCAAAATGGGAAACCTCTCCACAACTCCTTCTGCTGTTTGCTGTAAGGACATGTTATGCCTGGCAAGGATAGTACATAGCTCTTCTATTTCACCACAAGGTTCACTATTTACATCATACTGAATAAAATCTCTCAAGTTCTTGGTTGGAGCAAAGAGCATGGTGAGAAAGGCTGGAAACTGTAGTTCTCGAGGATTTTGACAAGTTTCACTAAGAACTACAAGATTTTTCACACTCAAGTCATACAAAATTTTGTTGGGTTTTGTCTTCAGAAGCTTCATAAAGGGAACAATTGTATTTGCCCAAGATGGCAATTCAAGTTTTTCTAGGGCTTTACCTTCAGAAGCATCCAAGGAAAAGTTTTTAACATAATCATAGGCAGGTAAAACAAGATCATGGGCCCCCAGAAACTCCATCATTACTGTATGAATGTGGCTTTCAGAGACCTGGCAGGGGTGTTCTCCAGTGAAATCCGCAACAAGTTCAAAAGCTCCCGACATAAACAGTCGTCTCATGAGTAATTCAGCATTACCTTTTTCTCTTGTAATGAAGACTCCACACTTGGCTAAAATATTTAACACTAACTCCAAAAATGGTTCTTTGGCAATTATCACTAGATCAATCATACTTTGTGTTATGGGTTTAAAGAGTTCTGTTGACCACACTGTGTCCCTGCGGTCATGAGCTTCAAAACTCTGCACACTCCACGTATCTCCATCACCAGGTCCAAGAGAAGAGGAATCTAAAGAGTCGTGGGACTTGACAGAAGACTCCACATCACTAGCATACAGTGGTCCACTCAACAGGTTGAATCCTGCATATTTTGACTCTGATATATTTTCATACTTCTCATTTCCATCATTTCCTGATTTTTCTGGAATGAATGATCCTGCTTGCAGGTTCTTAGAGGGCCTAGAATTGTGATTTGACCTCATCAAATCTTCACTTTGTACTAGTTCATTTTCATGCAGGTCTGCTTCTTGACTATTAAACTCCCTGAAGATCCACCGCTTCAAGTTGTTTAAATCATGTTGATGAAGAAGGTACTGCCACTTTACATCGGCATCCACATTCTCCAAAATCTCTGGGTCTGTGAAAATATGAATAAATTAGTAAGGTGACATTCTAGGAAAAATTAGACAGTAGAAATAATATTCACAAACAAAGAAATTTCATGAAAACAATATACTGTACAGCAGATGAGATGATGATGATGATTATGACTTCTTTAGTTTGTCAACTGATAGTTTGAAAACAGGATACTTCACCTCTACCTATTTATGATCCAACTTGAAAGGGGGGGGGGGACAACAGAGTCCAGCAACATATAACACAGATACAGTGTATAAAGCTAAAGGACAAATAAATGTGAAGTCCTTGACATATAGGTAATGAAGTGTTCATAAGTACAATACAGGGCTGCCTCACTTATCGCAAAGGTTACGGGCATGAAACTTGTTAAGAATATTGAAATTGTGAATAGCGGAGCAATTTCTCCCATAAGAAATAATGTAAATAGGGGGGATACAGGCATCGCGGTGATCATGACCGCCCGATTTTAACACTTGTTTTACTCAATACATATAGAACATAAAAAAAATAAAGAAACAAGGCATAATATCAAATAAACATCAATAACAAACACTTTGAGTTTATTAGGCATATATGTTTACAAGTACAGTATACAGGGGTACTTTACATGTTTGAGTGTGTGAGTGTTTGAATGTTTATGTGCGTAGGTGTGAGAGGTAAGTTTTAAATGTAAACTGTTAATTTACCTCTGATGTGCTGTGTTGCTTGCTTGCTGAAGTTGGCATTAAGGGAGAGGGTGAAGGTTTACTGGGGTGAGAGGAGGCTGGGGTCGTCAACCACCTCACTGCCAGGGTCGTCAGCCACCTCACTCTCATTATCGGTGTCAATTTGCACTGAAAGCTGTTGTTCTCCAATAGATGAAGGCTGTGGTTCACTCGTTGAAGGCTGTGGTTCACTCGTTCTGTGTTCACTTGCTGAAGGCTGTGGTTCACTTGTTGAAGGCTGTGGTTCACTTGTTGAAGGCTGTGGTTCACTTGTTGAAGGCTGTATTCACTCGTTGAACTTGGTTGATGGCTGTGGTTCACTTGTTGAAGGCTGTGGTTCACTTGTTGAAGGCTGTGGTTCACTTGTTGAAGGCTGTGGTTCACTGGTTGGGCTGGTTCCTCGTTGAAGGCTGTGGTTCACTCGTTGAAGGCTGTGGTTTTACACTGGTCTTGAACAGCTGCCTAAAAGCTGTGTTCTGTTTGGATGTACGTGGGGTGGTTGGTGCACTGGGGTTGAAGGTTTGGCCATGATAATTACTTCAAGAGTCATTTGTTGTGCATTCTTCCTCTTCTCCTCAACCACCTTGTATGTCTTTCTTGACATTGTGGATGATAGTGCAACTTCAGTCAACATTAAGGTCCATTTCTAATGCCATATCCATCACCATCTCAAATGAAGAAATCAGTTTCCTTCGGTTCCATACAGTGAGGAGTTGTGTTGGAGTTTTATCTGCATCTTCTCCCGTTGCAAGTGACATTTCTTCTTGCTGAAGCCTCTCCAGTTCTATCAGGTCTTCATTGGTAAGTTCTTCATTGTGAGAGTCGAGGTCTTCTTTGTCAGTGTCATCCACTTCATCAAATCCAGCCTTCTTTACAAGTCACAATACTCTTCCTTATTGCAGGCACTGAAAGGAAACCAAGAAAGTTGTGCACACACTCGGGCCACAGCTTACGCCACACACCGTTCATGTTCTGTTGTGTTATTGCCTCCCATGAATCACTGATGTTTTTTATGGCTTTCCTGATGTTGTAGTGTTTTTTCCAAAACTCCCGGATTGTAGGTTCCCTTCTCCATTTGTCCCCTCAATCAGCTGCTCCATGATACGCTGAGTGTAGAGCGCCTTGAATGTAGAGATGACGCCCTGGTCCATGGGTTGCAGCAAATCCGTGGTGTTGGGAGGCAAAAAAACAACTTTTATGTTTTTACACCAGTCAACCATAGCTGGTGGATGACCTGGTGCATTGTTGATCACCATCAGAGCTTTATCATCAAAATTATTTTCCTTATTATAGCGACTAATGCGACCGGACACATATTTGAACATGTAGTCGTGCATCACAGATCCTGTTACCCACACCGTTTGAACGCCAGACGACCGGAAGTTGTCCCTTCACAACCCCCCTCAGAATATGGGGTGCTTCAGACCGGTACACAAGGAGAGGTTTAACTTCAGGTCACCCTCAGCATTTCCACCAATCAATAGAGTGAGGCGGTCCTTGGTAACTTTGAATCCCGGTGCAGTCTTTTCCTACTTAGATATGTAGGTCCGTGAAGGCATTTTCTTCCAGAAGAATCCGGTCTCATCCAAGTTGAAGACTTGCTTAGGACTGTACCCACCCTCCTTAATTATGGTTGCGAGAAATGGTGGGAACTTCTCTGCTGCTTCATGGTCGGTGCGAGCTGATTTTTCTTGTATTTTTACATTGTGGATTGATATACGTTTCCTAAATCTATCAAACCATCCACGGCTGGCACTGAACTCAGGTACTTTGGGTTTATCTTTAGTTATATCTTTCCCACAGCGATCTTGCCTTCTGTTGAATCATGCGTTGTGATGAAGGTGTTTTAAGGCACTGGGTCTGGTCGTCAATCCACGTGCTCAACATCCGCTCCATCGTTTCCTAAATCTATCAAACCATCCACGGCTGGCACTGAACTCAGGTACTTTGGGTTTATCTTTAGTTATATCTTTCCCACAGCGATCTTGCCTTCTGTTGAATCATGCGTTGTGATGAAGGTGTTTTAAGGCACTGGGTCTGGTCGTCAATCCACGTGCTCAACATCCACTCCATACTCTCCATCGCAGCATCATGGAACCTCGTCACCTTCGTAGCCGTCAGTGGTGTTGCAGCCCTGGCCATCTCCTTGGTCTTGTCGGCGCTTTTAACTATAGAATGCACCGTAGAGGGAGCCAAAGCCAAGCCGTGCACACGCCCAATCACTGATGTTTTTTCTCCGTGTTCATGTCTTTTTATGATATCCTATTTCACATCCAATGTAAATGCCACACGTGATCTCTTAGCAACATTGCTGGGAGTTTTAGTAGCTGGTTGCTTAGGCGTTACGAGATCACACAAAACACACGCCAGCACATGAGAGACTGAGGCAAGTGGGAGCGTATGGAGGAGGAATACGTACACACGCTGTCCTACGCTGCGGTTGAGGCGCGCGGTTCAAAATTTTTGCTCGTAAGAATTTGCGAATAAACGGGGCAACCATTGCGAATAGTGGAAATGAGTAACAATAAATTGATTGCGGATAAATGGGGTTACGAGTACCGAGGCTATGAATAACGGGGTTTGCCTGTAAAGACCTTGAGTACCGGAGTAATTAATCCACAGCGATGTCATTATGCAGACGGAATCCGTTACACTATACTGTATATTCGTGTGTTAATAAAAGCATACAGGTATTACACTAACACAGTTTGGCTTATTTATGCTCATAATAAATTAGTTCAAGTATAATAATCATACTTATGATATACTTTCAGGAAATTCAGTTAATTTTTTTTACTAAAGTGTGAATGAATGTAGGTAGGGTTCTAGATTTTATTATGTACATGTAAGTGGCATGGATGACCTTGTGCAGTGTGAGATAAAGTGGATGATGTGGATGTGTACAGTATACCATACACTCGTACACTTGAGTACATTGAGTTTTTATGATGAAAATTTTATCCAAAAAGTAAGGGGTCGAACTATATATGCATAGTATTTTTGAGGGGTTAAAATTAATTAATTTCCATGGGTCATTTATGGTGAACGATAGCTGTACATACATGCTGTAAGCTCCTTCATCCTGGGCTTGCCCACCATACCCCTAGATCCTTTCTTTATGTTGAAGCATGAAGAGCAGAGCCTCATTCAAAATATATGCCACTTGAAATCTACAAATACCTTGTTTTAGCCCCTGTCTTATAGGCAGAAGTATTTATATAAATGGGTTAGTTACATTACACTTATATACTCTATCACCCCCTGTAACTTTCCACTAGCTATGAGGTAGCATGTTCAGAGCATGTGATAAGGTGTGCCCACAGGAAGTCACGTCACTTAGTGCTGAGCTAAAGCATTAAAAGTAACCGGCTCTCTGGCTACCTATTGCGGGCAGTAGTTTGATTTCACTCACTAGAGGAAGACGTTATTTAGAGCCATCGTGGATGGTTCTGTCTTCCCTCGAGGGAAGACATTGGATATATTTCTGTTCTTCCCTCGATGGGTCCCTACTCACTCTCACTCACCGCTCATCGACAGGACGTACTTAGCAGAGCTATTTAACATAGCCTCCGTCCTCATTTAACACTCATAGCTACAGTGATTAAGTTACAGTGATAATCCTTTTTGAAGGTGTACATAGAACTCTTTATAATAAATACAAACAAAGGAACATATTGGATTTCACTACAGAAGATTCAATAAACTTTTATGTATATTTTAGTATCTCTAAAATATAATGTAACGTGCTTCACAAGTGATTGCTACAAGTGGTGACAACCCAGGAAGGTTGTTACACATATGACAGTTTCACAAGTAACTGTTATATTCATGGTAACAGTCACCTCAGCAGATACACAGTTGGTAAAGTTAGAGATATTACTGTGGCATACTGTTACATCTGTTAATAAGAGGCAATTTGTTATATAGGTGGCAGAGGTTATATACACTTGGAACTGTATATAATATATTTTCCTAATAAATGAAGAAAAGACAGTTGGGTTTTTGCTACTAAAAACCTTATATACTTTTACATGTTCCAGCCCCCTTAACTCATCAAGAATCAATGGTTAAGGGCCGGTTCATAGGGTGGCAGCGAAAGGCAACCAGACCAATAACATTAACCAGTGTTCGCCAATAAACTTTGAACTTATTTTAGCACTTATACCATACAAAGTAACAAACATTCACCAGTGCCTGTTACGGGTGTGACCAGCGCAGCTCAAGGTGACCAAGTCTCCAATCTACAGTGGTAACAGTCGAGGTAATCGTATCTCCTGTTCCTACTGTTACAAAG